CTTAATCACACACAATCAATCATTCAGTTACACACATAGACACATTGACACTTATTCACACTCAGACTCACTCATCAACACACACCCTCTCACACAAATGATCAACTTCCCACATGCATTCTCACATATGTGCACACACACAAAACTGAAACATGCGTCGACACACCACACCATTTGACATAGGTTGCTACTTTTCCTGTTGGTTCGCTCACTCTCTTCACTTGCCTGTGTGGGTGCTTTACACATGGATGTTGCATTAATCAACAGAGCTACCATTTCTGCAGACAGGAGGCCATTTAGTCAGAACGCATTCTAGGGCACAACAGCCTTCAGCTATGACCAGCTCAAGTCACATCATGAAACAAACATGTCCCACCTTCAATGTCAAACTCTTCATTAAATGATCTTTTCTAGCATTAACACAGTGAGAGCACACACAGGTGGAAGAGTAAATGGAGGCAAAGTTACATTGATCAATTCCCAGCCCCTCTAGCCCATACAGGAGGGGACTGTGTTGTAGACCTCACTCTCTCTTGTCTCATATGATCTTAGTGTCTGTGGCTTAGCCTTGGAAAGCTGTGAATTGATCCTAGCATTGCCGGACATACGAAATAACAGCAGAAGTAGACCATTCAGCTCCTCAATTCCACATTTTCCTTCCCTCCGTAGGCTTTGATTCCCTTGCCTGACAGGAGTCTATCAACATCTGCCTTAAAAAATGTTTAATGACGTTGCCTCCATGGCTTTTTAAGGCACAGAGTTTCACAGTCCCACAAAATTCTCATCTTTTGTCCTAAAAGGGCCACCCATAATTTTAAAAGTGACCCCTAGTTCAGATTTATCTACAAGAGGATGCATTGATGCCATGTTCACCTTGTCAAGGCTCATAATTCAGGATTTTATAGACTTCAATCAAGTCACCCCTCACTCTTCTGATCTCCAATGGAAACATGCCCGGTCTGTTTTTTCTTAATAAGACAATCCACTCTCATCAGGTATTAATCTAGTAAATCTCCTCAGTTGCATTGTCTGTTCATAAAACCATGATGTCTAAAGTTTGTGGTTTGGAAAAAATGGAAGTCGTGGCTTTTTGCTCATGGTGAACTGGTCAGAATTCAGGGCAGATCGTAGAATGTGGGATCTCAAATGGAGGTCATTCAGACTATTGTGCTTGTTCTGACCATTTGAAGCACTATACAATTCAATCCATTCTCCCTGCCCTTTGCCCATAGCCTTGTAGTTTTCTCCCTTTCAAGTATTTATTTCTCATTTGAAAGTTACTGCTGAATTTGCTTTGAATAATCTTTCGAGCAGTGCATTCCATATGATAACAACTCATTGTAAAAAAAAGACTCCTTGTCTCCTATCTGGTTCTTTATGTCAATTATCTTAAAAAGGTTTTTTTTTTACTGACCATCCCACCAAGATTCATGCTTTGTCACAAAGTTTGCTCCTTTCTTGCCATACATGCCTAGGAGATGTGTCTCCCAACCTGTAAGAGAAATCTCCATCCACCTCACTGCCTGGTGCTCCCAATTAGCATTCTGCATGCTGAAAAAGTTCACAGGGCTGATTGGGTTATTTTCTGAGGGAAGGTTGGACAGGCTGGGCCTGCATCCATTGGAAATCAAAAGAATAAAGAATAAGAGGTGATCTTATTGAAACATTTAAAATCCTGAAGGGAAGTGACAGGGTGGAGGCTGAAGGCTCGTTCTTGTGGAAGAGACTAGAATTAGGGGGCACAGTTAAGGAGTCTCCTGTTGAAGACTGAAATGAGGAAAATTTTGCTTCTCTCTGTGGGGTAACATTCAGCAATAATCAAGTCTTGAGTGTGTGGAATTCTCTTCCTCAGAAGGCACTGGAGGTAGAGTTATTGTGTTTTTTTTAGAAAGGGCAGAAGTAGATAGATTCTTGACTAACAAGAGAGTTGAGATGCCATCCAAATCAGTCATGATCTTATCAAGTGACCGAGCAGGATTGAAGGCCAAATGTCCTACACCTGCTATTAATTCACGTTTACCTGCTGAGTGAAAGATTTAGTTTCCACACTGGGCTTTCCAAATTTCTCAAAGAGGTCAAAAAGCAGAGATGAACTAACCCTGCAAAGGAAAGAGTCCCTCAGAATACAAGCAGTAATGTTCTTGTGGGTTGCTTGTTTTCTTGTCTCCCTGGCCCTTTTACATACCACAGCCCCACAGCCCAATGGGACTGCTCTGAATTATTTTTGGGAATCATGTTTGGGTGCTTCCATGCTTCTTGACAGGCATGGCCTTTTGTAAATACTAAAATAATTCCGTTTCTGGGATTTGAGACAGGGTCAATGGGTCAGCAAGTCAGCTGACATATTTGGTAGTCTAGCAGAAATCTTGTTTCAATGACTTGATCAGCTTACAAACCTTTACATGGCAGAGACTGAAAGGGACCAATTATTGGAGAGTTTCACATCTGAAACCTCTCCCCCATTCTTCCTCTCTCTTGCCCCCAATTTGCTATAGATATTTTCTAATCAACCTGTTCAGAGATATTATTTCAGACTTCTGCAGCTGGTGTGACTTGAACCCAGGTCTCCTGACCCAGAGGCAGAGACACTACCACTGTGCTACATCAGCACCTTAGCAGTGGTTACATGGTGACCATTAGGCTAGCTTTTTATTGAATTCAAATTTCACCATCTGCAGTGATGGGATTTGAACCCATGTTCCCAGAACATTAGTTAGGATTTTGGATTAGTAGTCCAGTAACATTACCACTCCACCATGTCCCCCTCCCAAGGACTTTGTTGCAGCTGTTACAGGATAGTTATGCAAGTCAGCTGGGACTTTGTTGATAGCCCCTGAGTTAAAGTATTCCTGGTTCGCCTCCCACTCTTTGAGCACTCACAGTGCAACAGTAAAACTGTTATCAGTTGTTAGAAAAGCCCATCTAATTCATTAATATCCTTTTCAGGAAGGGGAATTGCTATTCTTACCCACTCTGGCCTACATGTAACTGCAGACCAAAAGCAATGTAATTGACTTTGAAATGGCCTGGCATGCCACTTAGTTCAAGGGCAGTTAAGAATTGGCAATAGATGTTGTTCCACTACAAAGGAAACCCGGAAGTGAGGCAATCCATCTCAACAGACCCCAGAGTTTAAAAACCAGGCGGGAAAACACACTGATGCTTCATCGGAGGCTGCACTGAGGATGTTACCAAGCATGGTAACGAAATGTCTGCAAAACAACAAACCAGCTCAGCGAGCCAACCAACCTCAACAGATGTTGGCCTTGCTAACAGTGCCTTCATTCCATAGAATAAAGGAAAAAAAGTACTGAGGGAATACCATTAATTCATTTGGATGAAATGTTAAACTGGTGTCTCATTTGCCTAATGTAGTTGATGTAAAAGATTCCACGGAGTTATGTGGAAGAAGAAGGGAGTTCTTCCCATGGTCCTGGCCAATAATTGTCTATCAGTTAACATCATAAAAGACATATCTGGTCAATATCACTTTGCTGTTTGTGGGAGCTTGTTGTGTACAATTTTCCTGTTGCACTTCACATTGACTGCAAAGTTATGTTGAGACGTCAGATCATGAAAAACTCTATATTTGTGAGATTTTCTTCCAAATGTAGGGAAACGAAGGCCAATTGTAAAATCCCAAATGGTTCTTCAATGGGAGACCTAATGACAAAGCAATGAGAACTGTACCTGGAACATTCTAGCCATAATGATCTATCCTGTATCTGGTGATGCCTTCACACAAGGTCAGATCCCTGAAAGAGGTGCCTCAGTTATTGACTACCTCACACTTTACTCACTTCCTGTGGCCTATCCTTGTGCTTTAGATTTCCTACAATCTTTGCAGCCCCGATCTTGGTTTAGTAAAGCCATAAGGCAAAAGAGCAAAACACTTCAGATGGTATTTAATTGCCACAAAGGGTTTCCAACTCATTTTGGGAATATTCCTGGAGATACTGTAACATGGCCTCCCATCTTTGCTTCTAGTCTCTTACGCAAAGTGCAGGTGCTCCTATCTTCCAATGCACAACCAGAAAGCAAACAGATCCTACCTAAATCTGATGATTCTTTACTGATAATCAGTCAGCTCTTGCCACTCCAAACTCCGATTTCCAATGCTCACAAACTGATAAACTTTCAAAGAAATGCTTGCTCTTGAGTTGCTGAGTGCAGTGACTAAGAGGTTAATTCTTGGAGACTGGGCAATCCTAATGCATTGACAATGGAACTGCCACATCACTTTCAACCGAGTCTAAAATCCAACTTTATTTGTACACCGTACTTGCTGTCTCTTAGCTGTTCCTCTTTCTTATTTCTCCTACATAACTTGGTTCTTCAGTCAATTTTACACTTCTATTATGTCTGCTCTGTTCTTCATTTGTCACTCTCCTGCCCTCACCCTTGTCTCCTGGATTTCTGCATTCACCCTTCCTTCATCCTTTTTGATTCTCTGCTGTCTGCTGTTTCTTGTCACTTTTCCTTCTATTCTGTTGCTTTCTATCCAGAATGCCCTTTGCAGACTCTTGACTTTGTACCCCCTTGGATTATTTCCCCTTTTCACACTTCCAGCCTCCTTTCCATTCACTACTGCTTTCCCTTTTGATTCCTTTCAATCCTTTTATTGGCCTCCCACTCCATAATGCAGCACTTGCTAACTTCTCTGGTGGCCTCAGCATGGAATCAGACAGCTCAGGACGAGGCCGTTTGGCCCATCGTGCTACTAGCTCTGCCGGATTCATCTCCATTCCACCCGCTAAAATGTCTCTCCCCTCCTCTTCAAATTCCCTTCCCCAATTAAACTGAATCTTGTCCTTCATCATTTGTTTTTTTAAATTGGAGAATTCCGTTAACAGTCTCCCTTTTCCCTTCCCTCCTTTGCTTGTCCCCTTTTCTCGTTCATCCAACGCCAAACACCAATAGCCCATGACCCAAAGAAAACAAGAAACACAAGCCCCCACCTCCAAACTACTCCATCTCCAGTCGCCATGGTTACCACTCACCCTCTCCGAGCTGTTGCTGCTGGTCTCCCATGAAGAGCTTCTTATGTATTCCGCCTCCTTCCATCTCCTCACCACAACAATATTCCCTTCCTTCTCCGCTCAGTCCCAGAGTAGGTGGTAGCAGAGATACAGTCGCCGAAACTCACTGGGACTCCCGAGCATTTCCTTCACCAGGTGCCCTCCTGCCCTCCCCCTTCCACCAACCTCCCCTCCCACCCCCACCCCCTCCCCCCACTCCCCCTACCCCCCAAAAAATGGAGGAATAATTCAGAAGAGTTCAAAGAAAATCATTCAATTAGGCCTCGATATTCCTAGATCTCGATGGTCCATTTCCCATCTTTCTTTCCTGCTTGAGGGAGAAATGGCTTCAGTTGCATTCTCTATTTGACACTTATGAACAATTGCAGCATTTTCCCGCTCCTTCAATGGTTTTAACCGACTCTCTCGCTCTCTTTTTTCTCTCTGGTTTCCCTATGCTCCCTCCCCTGCCGATTCAGAACCTGCAGTGGAACCCTATTCAACGTGGCTTGCTCTCTCGGCCTTTTGTTAATGAAATAATCTCTTCTTTGTCAAGTTATTAAGATTTCCAGTCACACGGCAGTGCGGGCATTTCTCAGCTGCAGGCTCCTTCCTCTGTGCTCATTCTTCCCCCCGCCTTTTCTTTCTCCGCTAATTTTTTTCTCTTCCCTTTCTCCCTCACTCTCCCTTCTTCGCTGTCTCTGTCTCTCTAAATCAATGCGCACAGGCTGCAGCAGTCAGCAACACTATTAATTTTCCGTCACCCCTCCTTCCTTTAACCTTCAGACGATTCTTTGCTTCCGAATGACAGGTAGAGTCAGGCAGAAATTATACTTCCCTTATTTTTCTCGTGTGTAGCACCGAGCGATAGCTTCCAGTGTGTCTCGCAGCCCCAGTCCACTCGGAACAAGAGCACAAAATGACAACGATTTTTTTCCCCTGTATAATCTCTGGTTTGCCACAGATTCTCAGTGTCTCTTTCTGAGGAAATAAGGAATCATGTCCACCTGAACCAAGGAAGGATATCCCTCTCCTTCGATGAACTGAATTGCTCTCTCTGTCTTCTCACTTCAAGACATAAAATCCAATTATCTAATTACAGACCATTGTATTGGCAGCGATTGGCCGATTGGATTAGCGAGGACCTAGAGATGTTTCAGAGCTCGAACTGAGACGCACACAACCACACTAGCACTTTCCTGCTCCCCCCCTACTGGGCTAACGAAAATAAAAAAGTAACATATAACCCACTTCCCCACCCCCAAAATGACATCCCCTCACGTTCCTCCCTATTCACTGAGCAGTCAGCACAAGACACTGGGTTTGCTCCTTTAGTGGATTCCCAGCACTATAGGAGCCGTGTTTCCGAGTTGTGACCCTTAAACCCTGCAAATACTGAAAGAACTGTTCCCCTTTGTCTGTTTCTTTTTAAGAAGTCGACAAAAGGAAGGGCCGGTTTGGCGTTCCCTCATTGTTGGTGGAGCTCCTGCAATTATCTTTAATGTGAACATACTACAGAGATTGTGGCAGAAGGTTTGGGGGGGGGGGGGGGGGGGGGGGGGGGGGGGGGGGGAGGGGGGGGGGGGGGGGGGGGAAGGGGGGGGGGACTGCAAAAGGTTGTCCTCTTGTCAAGATAGGGTGGTAGTACCTCTCCTGCATCGATGAGATGTGATAGGAGGGATAGTGTTGAGCAGTGCTCATGTCTGGCCCATAAGGGTGCCACTTGTGTGTTGGAGGTTCAGAGAACTCGTCGAGGGGGGATGAGGTTGGGTTCACATGGTCATACCTACACAACAGCCAGTCACATCTACGACAACACACTAAGATATTTCCCAGGACTATCAGCATTGAGATGGATAGATTTATAATCGGTAAGGGAATCAAGGGTTGTGGTGAAAAGGCAGGAAATTGGAATTGAGAATTATTAGATCAGCCATGCTTCTCATTGTATGGCAGAGCAGCATTGAATCGAACATTTTTGCTCCTATGTCTTATGGTCTGAATTGACATTGAGTCACATAAGGAGATACAGGCTAGGCTTTACTCTGAGCAGTGAATGAGAGGTGACTACCCTTTATTAGATTGGGCCTTGCCTGTAGGCATTCTGTGGAGGCTTGTATGGCATGTTGCCATTTCCAAGGCATCCACCATCCTCTACAAGGCATCCGGGATCTGTGTGAGCGGGCAAAAAAACGGCACGCCTCCTGAGCTAATCAGATTGAGAAAAACATTAACGATCAGCGCAGACTCCAAATCAGGTTATGTTACTTTGAATTGTGAATTCAATGTCAAACTAGCTACAAATGTAAAATAGAGAAATTGCAATAAATATTGTGCAAAAAGAGATTCAGAAAGAAAAAATTGTATTTTTAAAAAAACTCAAACAATGATTAAAATCTGAAGGAATGAGACTCCGCATTTGTTAATTTTCAATACCAGAGTGGTTGTTTGGCAGTAATTTAGAGTTAAAAAGGATATCTGGAATAGATTGGCTTAAGATAATTTTTGATGGTAAGTTTAGTCTGCATCTACAACATCAATACAAAAGCCTCACATTGTTAGTACATTTGTATAGGGAGCTAGAAAGTGAGACAGTTTACAGTCTATGAAAGAGTTATTTAACTCAGACAGCAACTTTCCAATTTAACTGTGCATTTGTAGTCAATGAAACTTTCCGTCCAATTGGGACATAAACAACTGCAAGTGTCATTCTTCTTAACTGTTATTTATACAGCAAAGTATGACCCAAAAGGAGAGGCAACAAAAAGCTCATTTGAACATACAACTTAGGAGATGGAGTAGGCTCCTTGGCCCTTCACGCCTGCCCCGCTATGCAATAAGATCTGGTTTCTCCACATCTACCCCCAGATAAACTTTCTTCCCTTTGTTTATCAAGAATCTATTCACCTCTGCCTTAAAAACATTCAAACACTCTACTTCCACTGATGTTTGAGGAAGATAGTTCCAAAGTCTCAGGAATATCTGTGACAAAATATATTGTCCTTCTCTCTAAGTTAAATGGCAACTCATTTTTAAACAGTTAGCCCACATTCTACATTCTCCCACAAGAGGCAATGTTGGCTCCATATCTACCCTCAAGGCTCCTCAAGATCTTTTACGTTTCAATCAAGTCACCTTCTATACTTCCAAACTCCAGCAGCTGCAAACGTCGCCTGTCCAATTTTTCTCCATAGCTTGATCAAAGTGGTAGATTTTAAGGCACATCTTAGAGGAGAAAGAGGGATAGAGCAGTGAAGTTTAGTGAGAAAAGTCCAGAGTTTAGGACTTTGATAACCAAAGACACAGAAACCAATGAAAGGGAAAAGGAAACTGAGAATGTAGAAAGAGACTGGAAGTACAGGAGTACGGGAGGAGTACAGAGATCTCAGAGGTTTGTAGGGCTTAAGTGGGTTACAAAGTCAGTGAGGGAATGCAGTTCTGAAGGGCTTTGAAAATAAGATTCGGAGTGTGGACATGGGCAGTGGAGTACATGGTACTCTTGGATGCTCCAACAACAGACGATTTAGCAACTACAGACAATATCACTCACCAATAAGGAAGAAAAGCTAACTGGCTCCAGATTTGATGTGAATTTTTCAGCTTAACAGGATGGTGAGGGGGCAGCAGTGTGGAGAGCAAAGTCTGTTTAATTGCTACTAGACCAAGACAGACTCAGAAAGTGTTAAATGGTGATCAGCGTTCTTGCATGTGACAGAAAGATATGGATCGAGCCCCACTCTTGAGATGTGAGCATGGAATCCTGGCTCACCATTTGTCCACTATCAAGGCAATGCTGCATTATCACATATGCCATCAGTTGGACCAGATGCCAAGACAAATCCCTGTCAGCCCCGTCACATGGTTGTAAAAGAGCACTAGTTTGAGTGCCAATGGTTTTCTCTCTGATGTCCCAGCCCAGATTTATCCCTCAGCCAATGCCCAAAGAAGAAGAGCTGGTCACTTTCTTCACTGCTGTTTATGTGTGCTTGCTATGTGCAAACTGGCTGCACCTTTCATACTTTTCATGAATAGCTGCACCTCAGAAGCACTTCTGTTGGCCATAACATGTTCTGTATCATTGAGAAAGGTGCTACACAGATGTGAATCTTCCTTTCTTAACCAGATCTCCACTCTGTGATCACAGACGTGATGCCCTCCACAGTCAAATTGACAGTCAGACACACGAAGGATGGCCACTTGGAGGGCAGATGGAAAATTCAGACATCTCCTGCTTCAACCCTCTTGATATCTCTCCCTAAACCCCTTCCCACTGCTACTGCTTTCCATGTATCTCTGAAGACTCCTCCTAAACTTTCACCTCTGACATTGCCAGTCAGTCACCTGCTGTAATTAACTTATAACTTCTTACTACTCTTTTTCTCTGTTGCTCAGTAAAGTCCCTAATGAGGTTTGACGTGCACCCTGAATGCAATTGTTTTTGTCAATGGAATCAGTTACCAGCCCAAAACAGTCAAGGAGAAAGAAAAAAAATTATACCACCAGTTTTTCTCAGAAAAATGATAGAGGGTCAAATTCAGAAAAGGCCTTTGCGGCACCAAATATTTGCGGTACAAGCATAGACTAAATGCTAAACTAAAACTTTACTTAAGCAGCTCACTTATCAGTACCTTATGAGGAATATTTTTCATTCCTGGCATTGAGTTTGACTGCATGTTAGATTTTTATGAGGTCCTATGCCCTTAAAGTTGGCATGTTAATTCTCTGCAACTTAACAATTAAACAAAAGATCAGGTTGGTTGGGGGAGGGCATTTTGCACAGTCTGCGCTGCAGGTGAGGCCTCACTTGCATTTGAGAGACTTCTTCAGACAAAACTGGAGATCAAACCTATGGCCTTCCAAAATTGGTAGCTTAACATTGCAGCAGGGGAGAACTGTAACTTGTCAGGGAAGTGCGAGAAAGCAATTGTTTTGTGTGACGGACAGTGTGGCATGTTAGTAGGGCACGTTGGCGTTGTAATGTGTGCATCATGCCTGCTTTCCCACTAGGTAAAGAAGGCAGACAAAATTCCTGTTGTTTACAGTCAAGTAGCAGACTCAATATTAGTATTAATAGTAGCTTGGTGGAAAAATGGCTCATCACCTTATGCCAGAGAATGGCTCAAAGGAGGACAGGTATACAGTTGAGCTCCTGTCA